TAGAGAACAATACAAAATCAATAATTTCTAAGGAAATTGAGCATCTGAATAGGAAAATTATAGTGAGTAGTAAGACAGCAGTTGATATTCTATTTACAGATAGAGAGTTTAAAGAGGATTATGAAATATCTAACACTCAAAAAACTAGTACAGTAGTGAGTAGGTCTATTTCAAATAGTGAGGTCAATTCTAGTAGTGCAGGATCTACAGTAATTGAGTTCATAGACTTAGCCTTGCATACAAAAGACATAATTTTTGAGGATGCAGAAGATGCTCCACTTGGAACTTCGCAAAAAGAAATTAATGATCCAAAGGAGTATTGGAAAAAGCAACTAGATTATGCAGTTGCAAACTATAAAGAACTACAAGGAACCTCCCTTGAAGATAGTCACTGGGCACCTAATGAAAATATCTGTGAAAAAGTAGGAGAATATAGAGCAAAAATTTTCTCTATCTCACTTCTTAGAAATCAAAAGAAGAACGGATAAAATTCGTAAAAGGAACACTATATAGAAGTAATCATATAAATAAGATTGTTAAATGCTTTGAAAATGGAAACAGTTGGGTAGTCATCATTTTTGATTGCCTCAAAGGTTTGAACATTTTGAGAGAGAAACTCAAAAAAAAGAAGATTGAATAGTATAATGTAATCTTTGACAACTATAAAACTACTAAGGATTCAGCAAACTTTTTTAAAAAGATGCCAAAAGCAAAATTGCTGAATACAGAGAATAAGACTCCTACTCCGAAGATTAACAAGTTACAGACTAAAGAAGAAAAGTCAAGAACTGGGTTTGAGAAAGTAGTAGACAAAGAAAGGAAAGACACATATAAAGAAAATGTAATCACAGTGTGGGACCTTCCAAAATGAGTGAAAAGAATCCATATCTTCAAATCTATATGATATCTCAGATGAATTAGTCATATTAAATAATTAGAGAAACAAGTAGAAAAACATGTGCAGAAATTAAGTTTGTACCAAATGCTATTTTCGTTGAGGACCTTATAGACATATGGTGCATCTCTCTTCTGAGCAACTGTCTGATGAGAGTCATACTAGGAAGAAACAACACAGAGGTATTTAAATATCATAACAAATTTTCTAGAAAGATCCTAGACTTACTAAAAGATGCAAATGAGGTATTACTGTGGAGACAGGTTAAACGAACAGGAGCTAAGGCATTGCATATTTTTAAGAATACAAACAATAATAATAAAAGAAGTGCTACAGTCTACTTTGCGAGTGAAACTGATCTGTTGGAAAGCTCTAAGTTCTCAGTTTATTACTATGACAACAAACTAAAATAGACAACAATCAGAAGTAATAGCTTCAAAGAGGAGGAATACCCTGCAACAAACAAGGCTTTACTAGTCATATCACAAAAGTTAAGCCACAAAAGTTTAGGAAAAAGGAAGAAAACAGAGCAAGATCTAGGTGAAGGATGCTCAAAATATATATATCAAAAACATGAATATAGAAAAACAGAGTCAACAATACAAAAAGATTATGTAGAATATAGTGGTTATAAATATAAGCAAGAAAATAAATCTGTAAGAAATTTGCAAACAGATTTTGATGATAGTAGCTCTAGTTTTCAGAAAGAAGTAATACAAATAGAGTAAGCAATTACAAGAACAGAAGTAGAAGAAGTCAGTGGTCTCTCAATTATAAAAGATCTCAAGTTAGCAAAGATAATAGTTTAAGTATAAGAGAAGTTCTTAAGAGTCTACTTGTGCTTGCAGAAAGAGAAGAGTATCTATCAGAAAAGAGGAATAGATACAGGAGTCATAAGACTCCTGATCGCTCCTAATTTGTAGCACTAGTTGAATCACGGGTTGTCTGATTTCTTAAGAAGGAAAACTTAGAAATTAGCAAAGGGCAAGAGATTCAGAAAACTAAGAGCAAATAGATAGGTTGAGGAGAGGTAGGAGTAAACCAAAAGAAGTTAGAACTCAAGAAGCAGATATGAACTTTAGAATACTTAATATAGCAACTCACAATATTAATAGAATTAAGAATAATAATACAAAGGTTGAGTTATTAGCAGAATAGGCAAACGAACAAAAAGTGGATATTATAAGAATAAATGAATCTAACATAAGTGAGAAGCAAGGAAAATTTGTATTAAAAAATGATACAAGATTCATAAGCTTCTGGACTTCTGCAGAAGAAGACAAATCCAAAGGCTCAGGAGTAGGACTCTTGGTTAACAGAGCTTGGGAAAAGCATATTGAAAGTATCTCAAGATGTAATAGCTACTATATAGATATTTTGTTAGTGTTCAAATTGGTCAAAATATTAGTAGTAGTAGCATATATCTCACCTAATAACAAGAACATTAAGAAACTATTACAACAACATATCATAAAAAAGATACGAGAAAGTGAGAGAAGAAATATTAAAGTTATCATTATAGGTGACTTTAATGATATCTGATCTAACTTTTTAGATCAGAACAACTCAGAATTCAAAAGGAAACAAGCACTCCCACTTATAGCCTGGTTAAAAAGTTCTACATTTGAAGATGCATTTAGAAAGATTCATCCATACAAAAAAGAATTCACATGGTCGAACAGCAAATTAAGCTCAAGAATAGATTATATCTAGGCCTCTAAAAATCTAAGCTAGGGCTTAATAAAATATGAAATCACAGAAGCAGAATGCATCACAGGTAGCGACCACAAAATTGTTCTAGTGCAATACATTACAGGCTTCAGTCAAAATAGCAGATCAGTAGTAAAAAACAAGAGAATAAAAGGAAAGTAACATATTCTGAAACTTGAAAAAGCAACTGACGAAGAGTGGGAAGCTTATAGAAGAAACTTAGAGAAGCTTTTTAAAGAAAGATATGTCACTTGTTCTCAAGGTTTATCTATAGAAGAATTTTATAAGAGGAATAATCTTGATGAGCTATAGGATATTATCTCAAACTACGTCCTTAAAAGTGCATACAAGTCATTACCAAGCAAAGAAGTCCATATAGGATCTCTCTCTACTAAGATTAATAGTAGTAGTACCAAAATTCTAAGAGATCTGCGAGCAATAGGCAAATTATATCATATTTGTTCAGTAGAGCAAAGAAAGCCTATTGAAGCAGAAGTAAGAAGCAAATGGTCAGCTACAATCAATGAAATAAATGTAAAATTAGATACAATAATAGAAGATCTAACAGAAGAAACTTGGACAAAAGAGAGAGCCAAAGATTTTAAAGCTTAGTAGAAGATTATCTATACGAAAGCACAGTGTGAAAGAAAAAAAGAAGATCTGAATAACATCAATGAAGCAGTTGATAATAGATATGCTGCAATATAGAGTAAGCTCAAACATATGCTAAGTAGCTTACTTGAGAGATCATTGAACAGAATTAGACTTCACAGAGTGCGTGTTGAGAAAGAATCAGACTTCTTGTTACTTACAGAAGAAATTGAGGTTCAAGAAGAAGTAAGATTCTATTTTATAAAGCAGTTCCACAAACGCAAGGTAGATGATAGTGGAACAAATCAAAGATGGAGTCAAGTATATGAGCCTATAGAAAAGATTAATGAAAATATTTACAAATCTCTTAATGAGGAAGTATCTTTGCAAGAATAGCAGGAAGTACTCAGGGACGTAAAGACAAAATCAGCTCCAGGCTCATCTGGAATTAGTTACCCTTTAATAAAGAAAGCAGGTGACTCAGCATAGAAAGTTTTCTTAGTATTAGCAAACAGATGCATAAAAGAAGGAAATATTATAACAAAATGGAAAATTGGTCAATT